TAATAATAGCTTGGCTATTAGTAGTTGCAGGAGAAGAAACAGCCACAAAATGGTGAAGTATTCTAATGGGATGTTTGGAATGGGGAAACATGAAGTGAATAAAGAAAAACGTGCTTGTATGAAGTAAGAAATCAGGGGAAAAATTGAAGAAAACAACCCAGCACCAGATATGTTGGAATCATATTCTTAGGTATTATTTCTGAGTAAGCAAAATACAGCAGCAATAGCTAGAATTCTCTAATCTAGAGTAATGGAAGCACAAGGAGCTCCATATAGAGAACAGATCTTGCCTCTCTCTGACAAGATAAGCAAAGGAGTCAATGTAACCTCATTTCTACACTAGGGAGGTACTGCTTCTAAATTCTCAAGAATGAGAACATAGAATCATAATATGAAAGCAGTCCTTCAGCTACTCGAGCAAAGATCATAGCAAGGATGTTGAATTGCATCTAAAAAGTAATTGGAAGCTACAACAAATGTATAAATGTAGGTATTACCTGTCAAACATTTGGAATGAATAAAAAATATGACAACATCTTTAGCCTCTCTTTAGTTATAGGCATTTATATCTGAAAGAGAAAGTATCAGTTGAAAAGCGTCATTATTGATATCCTGGTGATATTTTCACTTGCATAACTCACTCTTTTCCAGTCATGATAAGGAAAAGAGAAGCCATTACAGCATGTCATAAAACAGCTGCTATCAAGTATAACAAAGGATGCCTATTAACATATTTTGGAATCATCTTGCCAAGTACTAACAGGAAAACCAGCTTACTGAAATGTTCTGCCTGAAATATTTTGCTATTTAGTAAACTTTCTTTGACAGGAAGTCAAGTCTTAATTTCTCTCTTTCTCACTGAAACAAAATATTTGCAAAAGCTATGCTTTTGTGTTGGTTTGTTAATTTGTCTTCCAGTGCATCCAGTTCAGAGTGCCTAACAAAAATGTTTGGGGCATATCAAGCAACTGAATTCCTGGAAGGAATTGCCTTCAAAGATGTAGAATATTTTGAAGACAATAATTGTCACTCTGTGCTCGGAAAAGATAATAGAGCCCTCTTTTTCCACATGCCCCCTTCCCAAAATATTAGGACAATTTAGCTATTTTTTTTTTCTTGAAGTCCCTGTTCACAGCTGTATGAGAGCTCTCCTTCAAATTGTCATTTCTTCATCATATCTGAAGATGTGGTATTCACTATGTATATGAGATCATTGACCTATAGTCTGGAAAGTACTGTTAGAGATAACAGTGGAATGTGATGGCTGATGGACTTAATTCCATAAAACTGATTATTGAAAAGAACTGCTGTGCTTGAAACTAGATTAAGACATTGGGAATTAAGTCTAATTGGATAGAAGAGGCCTTTAGGACAGCAAAAGATATGCTTTCATTTGTAGTGAAGTTGTTGAATTTGTACACACTCTTGAAGAGTGAATATGTAGAAAAGCATAACATGCAAGAGAAGATATACTGTACGTTGCATTGGAGAAGAGTATTCTCAATAGTGCAGTCCAGTTCTTTTTTTACAAGACACTTACTTCCATTATGTTTAATCTAAGAGCCACATTGTATTGTGAGATATTCTTATATAGGTATCCAACAATTAACCATGTCAGACAAAATCACACATATGTGATTTGCTGTCCCTTCAAACCAAGTCACAGATGGTGTAAGTTGTTGTCCTTTTTAATCTTTATAAATGCTTATCTTCCCATAAGCCTCACAAAAAGATCTATAAACCTAAGTGCATCTGTGCATTTGCCAGCTGGATTAGTCATGTTTGTTGCAAAAGTAGTTTGTGTGCCTCACTGTATACTTGGTATTTTTGAATTAAAGATGTTTAATGTTTTTGCTTTTTGAAGAAGAGGATAGAGAATTAGGGGCAAAAGCTAGCTTCTATATAATTTTGTCTATACAAGTTATTTTTGTAAGAGCAAGGACAAAAATTGAAATCATGCCTTTGTAATAGAATTGTAAGAAATAGATTTTCCTCTTAAAAAGTACAAATGTCTGATAGAATCACAACCACCTTTTGAGATTTATGAGTTTTATGCTGAGTTTTCTTGGCTAATTATTTTTTATATTTATTTCACAAAGTGACCATCAAATGAAGTAGTCTGACCATTAAATTAATCCTTCTAGCCCTGTAAAACCTTTTTCAAATAGTTCATTCCTATGAAATACAAAAGTATACCAAAAAAAATATCATTTTTGCTTTTCATTTATAGATGACTTACCATGGCTTGAATGCTTCATCAAATCTTACTATGTCAGAGATGGAACAGAAAAACTACTTTGCTATCAAATTTTTGATACTACAGTTGCTGAAGATGTCTGATATCTAACTGCTGAGAAGATTCAAAGATTATAATTTTTAAAAACTTTCATTTGAATAAATAAGCAGTAGATGGTTTTTTTGGTAATGTACTTTTATACCAGTTCTACCATGTGCATAAATAAGGAACTTATCTCAGAATATCATACAATTTAAATGGGGTATGTTCTGTTTTTCTTTACAGAAAATCCATCCGTTCATTGAAAGTTCTTTTTATTTCTTCAGGATAATTTAAAGAGCATTAAATCACTAACTACTACTGTATTCAAAATTCTTAACCACACAAAATGCAGCTAATAAAGAGAGTATATTGAATGTTTCAGAGCTGAACAAAACTCTTTAAACAAACAGTCATCTAACTTTTTTCTTGTGCATGAAGTAAGCACAACATATCTGCAGGTAATCCTCACTTAATGAGGCTAATTGGGACTGGAAACTACATGTTAAGCAACATGATCGTAAGTCGAAAAACTCCGTGAACCCGCCACTTAGCGGTGGCAGTTCTGGCAGTCCCAGTTGCCATGTTAAGCAAGGACCACATGGGTTGTTAAGTGAGGACCTCATGTGACCATGACTTGCAACTTCCTGCCAGTTTCCCCATTGATTTTGCTTGTCAGAAGCCAGCAGGGAAGATCACAAATCATAATCACGTGACCGTGGGGAGGCTGCAATGGCAGTAAGTACAAGGACTGGCTGTGACTACCACTCATTCAGTCGTAAGTTCAAACAGTCACTGAATGAGTGGTCGTTAAACCAGGACCACCTGTATTTGGTTCATAAACCAGCTGATTCTGAGCCGAGCTTAACTGCTGTCATCTCAGAGGACTTTGATATAAGAAGGGCAAGAACTATGATATAAAAAGGGCAAGAACTATGAAGTATAAATTGAAGTTCATTGAAGCAGACCTATTCTTAAAAAAGGTGCAACTTTTGTACTCCAAGGAGCTGGATCCTTGGGTTCTGCATCAGTACTAGTAACTTAAATGGTTTCCCTATAATTGCTTTAGTTGTTGCAGTGCAGTAGCTCCATTTACAAATTAATTTGGGGTGTGCAAAATACAGTTAGCTTTATACAGGGGTACCTCAGGATACGAACTTAATACGTTCCGTGACTCTGGGCGTATCCCGAGTTGGTCGTAACCTGATGCAAATTTCCCCATAGGGT